AGGGTCTAGAGTCTAGAAGGATCCTAGGACCTAGAATAGATCCTATGGTCTGGATTATTATGGAAGAATCCAAGGGTCAAGAAAGATCCTAGTTTCTAGATTCTAAAAGGATTCTAAGACCTAGAATAAATCCTAAGGTAGAGATTCTAGGAGGATCCTAGAGTTTTGATTAGTCTGGAGTTTAAATTGATTTGGGGTCAGGATTGGTCTAAGTGATCTCATACAAAAATGAGGTCAACATGCTTGCAAAATATTCAATAAATACTGAAAAAATACTTATTAATACTAAAAAAATGAGTATTTGTTGAGTATTTAATGAGTACTTATAAATACATAGCAAATACTCAATAAATACGCAGAAAATCTAGACGATTCTCCCCATCCATACTCCACATAGAATAATTTCTCCTACGTAAGAGGGTAGGGCAATGGGTTCTCCATTAATTGAACATAATACATGAAATTATGGGAGACATAAAGGGACATGATATGATTGATTGAAGTTTTGACACGTATATGATGCCACTTGACTATGACTTAGACTAATATAATATGATATGAATAAAATTTTATAGTAGGTGATACTATATAGAGATGACTGATGTGATATAGTTAGCTAGAATTATAATTTGTTATTGAATAATATAGATTAATGAGGTATGATATAAATTGATAAGATGATGAAAAGAATACATATACAATGATATGTGTTTTTGTATTCATTCTATCTTGCATATGATTAATGCATATTCATGATGAATTTATATGACACATAACACTAATATATATGATATATATATATATATATAAGGAAAAAACTCACAAAAAAAATTCTTATACGCACACTATGTATTATAGAAAAAAATATTTTCCCCAAAATACCAATAAATTATATAAATAATAGCAAGAGATCATTCCCATATGATGTGGGATTAAATAGATAAGTTGAGGTTATAAAGTTCACACCATATATATTATATATTATTAAAAAAATTAATTAATTTCTTATAATGTGAATAATATTTATTTTTTAGTTAGTAATAATTTATTTATTTATTTATACACAATAAAAAATAATGTTTATCTATTTATTAATGATAAATTATTTAACATAAATAATTTTAGATGTGAATTTACAAAATAAATTTGGTATATAACCTATAGATGTAAAATATAATTGAATAAGTAATCTAATATAATAATTATTATATTAATTTTAAAATTTTATATGTGAATTAAATCTATATTCAATGTGAATTAAATTAAAAAATTAAATATGTTTAAATTTAAAATTACATAAAGTATTATTTATGTATAACTGTTTATTAAAAAAATTATAATATTGTATGATTATTATACCATCATTATTTCATTTAAATAAGATCTAAATAATTTTAATATTTTTATTACATCATGCAGCTCAACTTCGATCGAACTATTGAACCTTGAATATCTCCTTCTTCTGGTTCAATGTTCAATCCAATTTTTACAACCTTGGTGAGAGATGCATAAGGTTTTTCATTTTAATCTACATCCTTATTCCTAGAATGTTGTTGTGTGAGAGCTCTTTGGAGAATGAGCTTTAAATAGTCTTGGTATGAGAGGCTATTGGTTTAGCTGAGGAGGCTATGGGTTGTAAGCGTCTGTACCATGCTAGGTGTAGATGAAGGTAGGCTTCTCGATAAAGAAGTGGTGATGAGGGGTGTTCTTCATTACACTATGAAGGAGAAGAGCTTCTCCGCCTTGCTGGGAGCATGATAGTGGAATTCATGGTGAGTGCACATAGGTCAAGTTGATCAAATCACTATAAAAATCAAGTTTATATTTTATTTTCTCTTTTTTGCTTTTAAAATTTTGGTTTATTACAATCTCATTAATTGTTTAGCCATAGTTGAATTATTGTTGATATTATAAAATGGAACAAATAAATATTTTTAAAATTATTGTAACCACTTATTAAAAAAAAATAGTTTTTTTCTTTTACTCTATTATAATAAAAATTATTTTTTAAAACAAAGTGAATTAGTTTTGTTTGGTGTTTTAAAATTCTAAAATCTTCTACTGATATTATTAAATTTTAAACAGGAACCAAAGTCACCCCACCAATTCACCTCCCATCTTGTGTTCCTCAAATATTTTCAATTGGAATGAAAGAGGGCATTTTGTTATATGGCTTTAACACTAAAATTAGATCTTGCCATGGTAAAATTTGGGAATCAGAACATGAAGGAAGGGTGCTTTATTAGTCATATATCACTTTTCGATATCATATCTTTATTTTTTGGAAAATTTATATGAAAACATTTATTCAGTCTATTGGTTTTAGGATGCAAAATTTAATTCATATAGGATAAACTTCTCCACATAGAATAGTAAATGGTATGAAAGTTGAACTGCCTTTACATTCTAAAATGTATAAGATAGAGAATTAACAAAATATTTAAAATATTTTTGTGCATTAAAATTAGAAGACTACAAACATGTGTCCTCTTGTATGACTATTAAGAAAATATGAGATAGATTGTGCATCACTTGTGAAGGTACATTTGAAGCTAAATAATCATGAATGAACATATAAATTACATGACTGAATTATTTTGCATGCAAATTAATAAGAGTATTTTTGACATGTACACTACATTTATAAAAATCATCAGATCATTACATGTATTAGGAAGAGCAATATTAAATACTGAAAAGGTAAATATGATACTAAGGTGTTTGTTTGAATCTTATAATGCCAAGGTGATGATGATTTTGGAATCTAAGGATTTAAACTATTATTCTTTTGAAAACCTATTTGGCTCACTTATAAGTTACAAGCAAATAATTAGTCAAATAAATGCAGGAATTAGGTAAAAGGAGGATGTTATTGAATTAAAATTTGACGATTATGATATCACCAAATAGATGATATTGTTTTCATAACTAGGCTGTTTAAAAGATTTTTGAGAAGCAGAAGAAGCATGACGAGAAGTAAAAAGGTAAGAATAAGAAAATAAGTAAAGATGATATTGCTTCCTCCTCTCTAGACACTAGTGGTTTAGTGATCCTGAGCAGCCTTACCTATAGAGGCACTCTCTAATACTTAGGAAACATCAATCACATGGCATTATAGGCCTTCTAACAGCTCTAAGATTCCCTGGGTTACTCCTCTCATGGTCCTCACCTTAGAGACAATCCTACTTACCAATAAGCTCTTTTGTGGCGAGTGGATGGGGAGGTCTCAACCACTTAAGTATACTCCTCAGTGTTTACATGATTATTGGCGAGCTCGAGTAATTCAACCAATCACTTTGGATGTTGTTAGCCTAGTGCATAACAAAATGAACCTTCTGATAATAGTTATGTTAGTGCAGCTTGAGTGATAGCTAACTATAGGTCCTTCACATTAAGTATCTCCCTCTAAACACTTACAAATAAATTACAAAGTGACTTACATAGTTCATGGTGCATCTTAAAATGGATTTGTAAGTTCTTTAGAGGCTTTGGGAACTCATAAACTAAGTGACAAACATCCTTCTAAATTTTGGGAATGAGGTGATCACTCTCATTGGCAAGTGAGTGAACCACCTAAGTGTCGACTGATTAGGGTTGTGAAGAGTAGTAGACACTTCAAAGCATTGTTATTATTGAGCAACAACCTCATTGATTTGTAGTTAACAACATGATCAACTAGGTCAATCCTTTCCCTATATGACTCTAGGTTGGGCATCCTGAATTTTGGAGGTGGCCTCGCCTTAGTTATTTCTCTAGAAAAGAAAAATTTTAATTAGAGCTTTGCACTACTTGCCCACTAGGGAGGTTGGTTATATTCATCGTCACTATGATAATACGAGTGGGATTGACATTGGGCATTGAGATCAATTCTGTGTCAGAAAACTCCTCAAGTTTGGTTTCTCTTATCAAGTGCCTCGATAACCTCACTAATGCATCTTGGAACATCTTGGTGAGTATTTTCTCCATCTTTATGAGATAATGATGAGTGTTGTAGTTGGGGAAATTCATGTTCAATGATGGCTTGTGCTCAATTGTTCATCGACTTGTTAATACCTTTTAATTGCGACACGCTCACCACACCTTTTGAGTATGGAGAACCAAATTTTTCTGTGAATGATATATAAGCTGAGTAAGAAGAAATCTCAAGAGACATGAACTTCAGAGCCTAGGGTGAGTGTGAAGAAGAAAGGAGGGGATTCAAATAAATCTTGGAAAAAGCCTAAATAAATATAAAAGAAATTGCTACACTAGATCAATAAGGCTTTAAAAGATCTAAATAAACTTCTTTTCCCTTTATTTATATAGATCTAATGGTAAGAAGAAATGTTACACAAAGAGATAAAATGTATAATAATAAATGTGACCTAGTGTGGACTACTGATGACACATGTCACGATCTGATGCATGGTTTGTGGTGTTCTTCTCACTTGGCCCAGCATTTGATTTTGGGTGAGCTCCTTTTGACAAGTGTTTGTTGGCAAGTTGAGAAAAGCAAGTCCTCAATATGAATTGTGTTGGACAAATCAGTGGTAATGCGTCCTCTGGTCGTGTTGGCAACCTCCTAGGCTCGATTCTCGGGTGAATGTGAAGGACAAGTCCACTTGAGCTATGATGATTGCGAGCTCATAGTTGATTGAGTGTGGGGGAGCGTATTTGCATCTTTAAGGGATGAATTTTTCTTGTGAGTAGATCGAAGAGTATCATTGATGGGTTGCTGGCTCGTATGTTGGTGAGTCTTGGTGAAGTATGTTGGTGAGAGTCTTGGTGAAGGATGACCATCATAGGAGAGGCAAATGGATTTGTGCAAATTCCAAGGATTTCTATGAAGAGTGAGCTTCTTCAGTTGCTTGGTCAACTTGAGTCTAAGGCCTTTTTCTAGCAGGTACTTCCAGGAGAGGAGACTTCATTCATAGCCAATTCTTCATTATTAGCATATGCAAATGCTAAATTCTTCTGTTGAAACTTCGAAATATTTAAGGGACATCTGAGAAGACATATGTGAATATACATAAACCTAAATTCACGGCATCAGATGCAGTTTGGCCGATCAATTAATGATTCGATCCAAACGCGATCCAGATCAGATTCAGATCAGGTAGATCAAGGTTGCCCCGACCCGATCCAAACTTCCGTATCAACAACGACTCAGTACACTACCGCGTCTAGGTCAAGTTAAAATTTTTTTGTACCTGTCGTCTACAAGAGTCACAGTGTTCCTCTTTGCTTCTACAAACCTAATAAGACATGGCCGGCGCATCGCTACGTGTCTGCCAGTATCTATTTCGAACCGGGGCTCGCCTTCGCCTTTGCGGCATATACTCTGGTCGTTTACCTCTCGGATACGCGGTCTCCTCGATTTTCCTCCCATTAACCCATCTTAGATATAAATCTAATTCGGCAATTACGTCAGCTCCAATTCAGAACTCAAAGGAGGTGACGAATGCGAGGGTCACCGTAGGCGACGGAGGTGTTTCGAATGTTCCGCACCTCCGCTCCTCTTCAAACGATGCCGAGGTAGCTAAATTTGCAGCCATTGCTGAGACCTGGTATTATATTTCTGAACCTATCTCTGTTCTCATTATATTTCGCAGCAGGGTTTCTGGAGTGCCTGTCTTAGATTGCATTGTTTTAATTCATTGTATTATAGCCGTTAAAAGATGTTTAAAGAATCAATGGTTGTGATCTGCATAAGATCCTAGGGTGAAGTGCTATTTTTAATGAGATTCTTAGATTTATAGAATCAGTAATCATGGCTGAAGCATGATTATGAGTGGTTGTTGCAAGTTTAGGTACTTTGTTAGCCTACATGCCTGTTAACGTAGTATATCTCTTAGCGGCTGAGACATGGCCTTAAGTTTGGAGAGATTAGAGAGGAGGGGTTTCTTAGTTTAATCATGCTAATAGCACAATATTAGCCTAATAAGTAAAATTTTTAGCAAGATTTAAAATTATGCAATTGATTAGTAAAATATTTTTTATTCGTAAGATAAGGCACAAATGTATACTTGTACATTCTTGTTGGATTCGAATTTATCGGCGGATTATACCCCACCTTACTGATAGGTAATCTCTATGTGAGAGCTTGAGAGTTGAGTAGGGCTTGAGTGAGTATGGTGAATAAGAGTTTTATATTTTTTTGTAAGTAAGCAATACAGAATCTAGAAAGAAAAAAAGTTCCATAATAGTAAATGATTCAAAAAGATCTTAAAGATGTCTCTCCACCTTGTCTTTATAGGGATTCCGGAACTATAGGAAAAAATATACGTAAAAAAGATAAAGATGGTAAAAAGTACTATGTACGATGTTTCTTATTATAGGCTGTCATAAATACGTGGCCTAACTGATTGACTTGCATGTTAATATTTTCTTATTGTGCGGCCCTTGGTTTTGGGGTGACTATTTTGTGCAAGTCTTCATGGATAAGTGTCTTGGTCGAGTTCTTTGGGTCAAGTGTATAGTGCGAGTTTGTGAGGATTGATAAGTGGTGGCATGCCATTGAGACATTATTTAGACTCTTGGAAGCAAAATGATGAATCCTTCTGGATTGAAATGATCATGAGGGCTACCTTAACCCGAGAATTCATAGTTGCAGCCTTTAAGGTGTGTGTATTTCATGTAGTTAGGTTATGGATATCAGTAGTAGCCGGGCGGCCTTGATCGTAAAAGATGATGGTTGATGAACAATTATTGGCGAGATGAATGACACCTAAGGTTCAGGAAAAATTGAATTAGCTGTTAATGTTGGCTAGCTTGTTGGGCGGCCATTTTCCCTCATGGCGAGTGCTCATTCTGGGAGATTTAATCATGGGTCTGAGCTTCTTAGTGGGAACCTATTGAGTACATATAAAATATCTACATAAGCTTGTACGAGTAGACATTTAGTTCTCTGATTTACTTCACACTTTGAAATGCGAGTTTTGAAAGGACAAGTGAATTAAAATTGAGCATTTATTACTCTCACAAAATGGTAAAAAATATTGTGATCTTGGGTAGTGTGCATATTCTTTATTATGACTTTTATTTGACCCTACACACTCTTTACCTATAAGTAGTTGCTTAAGGGTTGCGATGCTGCTACATTCTCTTCTCCAACCTCTTGTAATTGTGTCTGGCTCACTCAAAATGGTATACTTAGATCTTAATAAATTGGTCGAGTCAAGCCTCAAGAGGTTAAAAAGGGTTGTTATTTGTCGGTGTAAGCTATAGGAGTCAAGGAGAAGAAATCTAGCTTGTTTATGAGTGGAAAAGAGGCGATGGCCATGGAGGCCAATGTGCTTGTTGGCCTAGGGTTGAGTTGACCTGTAGCGCTTATGCCCAAGGAGGCAGAGAGGGTGGAGGTGAATAATGTGCCATTGACTGAAGGGAATCTATGGAATGTAGTGCTGTCCTTAAGTTCAGATGACTTCCATTTGACTATGAGGCGAGTGAGGTGACCTCCCACTAAGTGTTTAACTGTGGGCATGGTCACTTAAGTGGACTTTGTTGAGATAGTACTTACTCTTGTAATGGTTAAGCTCACTGTTGGCCGATTTTGGTATGGAGAAATATCTTCAAAACTTAGAAAGAATTATGTTTGGAGGTAGGGCATTGTTGTTAACAAGAAAGACAAGGGTTTGCCTAACTATGAGCAAGTTATTAGGACACTTGCCGAGTGGGTTTCTTGCTTTAGCTTTAATGCAGTGGGCACTCCGGTTGTATATGAGAATGCTTCCCCTAGTAGTGAGTACTTCGAAACAACAAATGCCATCTTCAGTAGAGATCGAGGTATTGGTTTAGGCTACTTTTGAAGTTTAAGAGGCGAGGACATTGAAGAGATTGTGCCATTGCCTTTAGCTCATGAACCTTTTACAGCCTATCCCTTGGTGACTCTAGGAGTCTCATGCCCTACTAGCTACGGGATTTGTGCCCATGGACCACCCACTTTGGAAAGCCTAGTTGAGTATATTAGTTTGATGGAGAAGATCCTCAACATTCAAGGCACTCTCAGTGAAAGGCCTAGGACTTTGCAGAGGGCAAGTGCTAAAGGAGAGTCAACTCCCGCCATAGCTGGAGTATCCAAAGGAAGTCGCTTTCTTTAAAGGAGAGTCAACTCCCGCCACCCCCAAGGAGGATTTGCTATAATGGGTGAACAATTTTTGCCTAGGCCCGTAGTCATCGACGACTATGGCGAAGGTTGCTACCTTGAGGAAGGGCTACTCATCATTGGAGTCACTTCTCAAGAATTAGGGCTCCACTCACCGAATTGCAATGGAGATCGAAGCATTGAAAGCCAAGCTAGCTAGGAAGGAGACTACTCACTAGGGGAGCTGGAGAAGAAGGCATTCATTAAGGAGGTTATGCAGTTAATGAATGAGTACGCAAATGTATAAATTGACGAACTAATAATTGAGTTCAAGTAGAATAAGGATGGGCTCATATCCTATTCCAATCTCCCAAGTACTATGAGATATTAATATTTGGTGACAAGTTCGACCCTGAGATCGAGTTGAATTATATTGTGACTACAGTAGCATTCACTTAAAAATAATAAAAAAATTCAAAGCGTTGAACTTGACTCATAGTTGTAATGGCGCAAAATAGCGTGCACCATGGAGCATTGTAGGCTCCGAAAATTCGGCCCCAGCCTCCCCGCCGCGCTGATTGTTGCTTTTCTTTTCGGCGGGGGAGTTTTAACGAACTAAGTTCCGGGATAAATTTTAGAAGGCAGATGGATTTGTAGATAAGACACTACCCAGGGATTTCGTCCTCATTTTGCGAGGACTTTATGATCTGAGTTTTTGTTTCCTATAGGCATAAGCCCCTATAGTTAATTACCCCTCCCGATAACGAGAGAGAACTTTTGATTAAGGCTAGTCTTCAATCAGATACATAGAAATACGTGGTATCTGGCATATAGTAGTAGCAATGGATATTTGGAATGGTTGAAAATTGTAGAGTTTGAAGATTTGATGATTGGAAAATTTGGAGATTTCATATTTAAAATAGAGATTTCACTATCGTGCACTTAAAGCGGATGGTGGGGGAATGGATGATAGACCCGATCAAGATCCCATGGTTTCGTCGTCCCGGGTCATCGTGATCCCTAGTCTACTTAGTCAGAGGAGGTAGTCGACCCAACATTACAGAAGGATCATTATCGGCAGCCATGGGTTGCTTCGTCCAAGGGAACTTTGTAGACTTGAGGTGAATGTTTGTATAAGGGGACAAATTTGAATCCACCTTAGCTAACAGAGGGCTTTGTGCCATATCGATTATATCCTATTGATTCATATCTCAAGAATTTAATGCCAATAAGTAACGTATTGGCGCTGGCCATAACCGGTATTTCGTGGTGCCATTTGGCGGCAAAACCACTCGGTTCAGAGGGCCCCGGGTCATAACCGTTTATCCTGTGGTGACATTTGGCTGCGAACCGCCGGTCAGAGGACACGTACCACGTCCTTACTGGCAGGAGATTGTTTGAGAATGGATCCTAGTGATATTTTCGACAAGGCATTTAGCTCTATGTGAGCTTAAGTAAATTTTAATTTGTACACCTCATCAAACTATTACGGAGGGTGGATATATTTTGCTGTAAGTGTTTGATGATTGGATTTTGATTTTAAATATTTTAATTTTGGGATTTTCTGGAGTTTTGGATTTTTATGGGTATTTGGACTTTGTAGAGTTTTGGATGTTTGGAATATTTGGGTGTAGCTTGAAAATTGTGAACCCCTCCGGTTGAGATAAACATTCAACACGGCCATAATCGGGGTGTATGGGGTCATTTCTATTTGTAGCTTGAACCTTGTCGACCCTATCAACTTACCGATAGGGGATCGGGTTTCGTAGGCTTCATGTCTTTGTTAGTGAATTCTTTTGATTATAGGCCTTGAAGGCCTAATATGAATGTACAAAATAAATATCTCAGTTGACCTCACGATCAGATATTTATTTAAGGGTTTGAGCCTGTCAACTCCCACTGGCTTGCACAGGACGATCGGGATCGAACTTGAATTCACTTATTGACCCGCGCAGCATCCCTAGACGCCCCATGTATTTATACAACATGCTCGCCGGGGCCCATGCGGGTGTTTGGGGGGCGTTTTGTAATTATATGTTGAACATTGTCGACTCCTATTTACCTGCTTAGGAGGATTTGGTTCAACTTTATTGACCAGCGCAACATCCCTAGACGTCATGTGTGTACAAATAACACATTCGCCGGGGCCCATGCGGGTGTTTGGGAGGCATTTTGTAATTATCTATTGAACCTTGTCGACTCTTATTTACCTGCTTAGGAGTATCGGGTTCAACTTTATTGACCCGTGTAGCATTCCTAGATGTCATGCGTGTACCAATAACACACTTGCCGGGGCCCATGCGGATTTTATGATTGCTTTTACCCCTTTTAGTGTACCTATGTGTATATAAACTACGATGCGTGTGCAGGGGGCATCTTGAGATGTTTAACGCTGCTCAGTTGTGTTTGTGACCACCATTTGAATGCAATGTTCTATTTAGAAATTCGTACACGCGTTCTGTCTGCTTGTACTCTTGCCATATT